CCCCTCCTCTCAATAAAACCTCCTACGTATGCCCTGTTGTATGGTGTGACTCCTTCCTGCTGTTTTTAAAATACGACAAGGATAAGATCACTTTTGAGCCAAGGGTGCTGGAGTGAGGACAGTTGGTGGGGCAGCATTCCAAGCAGCAGCAGACATAGCATGTCTGGGGCACAGCATGCCTAAACGGCCCGGGGAGCATCATGGCTGGAGTAGGAACACTGGACCAGAGCAAAGGGATGCATTCAGAAGGGCATATGGGAGACTCACAGGCCACACTCATGTGATCAGCGTGAAACCCACCCACCGGGAAGTTGCCGAAGGCACAGGCCACTGGTCCTTAGGGATTAGCCCCCTTCGGCTCTTGGGAATGCTTCACTCACAGAAATGAGGTGCCATTTGTGACCCTCCAGCCCCTCTGTTGTCATTGAAACAATCCTGTGTGTCCTGTCTCAGTCACAGAGGGCCAGGAAAGGGCTCCTAAGCCAGCACATGAAGAGCCATCAAGGAGTCAGGCTCTCTAAGCCCAAGGTTCCAGGCACCACACGGGTCACTGCCACCATGTCCCTGTGGATATCTGAGCCCCTGCTCGGGGCCAGGGCCACTCTTCCCCGCTCCCTTCACTAGGCCCTGGATCCTCTATTCCAAGGGCTCCCTGGCAGCCACACACCAGGGAGGCTGGGGTGCCATAACAGGATTGGCCGAAGCACGAAAGATAAACCCACCTTGGTGGCCCTTGGTGCTGCCACAGCTGGTTCTTCCTGGCTGACCCCAGCTTGTGGTTAAGTCCCTAATGGAAAACGTGTTTAGTGAAGAGGACAGGGAGGACTTCAGCAGGCACTTGGCCTTGGGCTACAGTGCTGTGTGCCTCCAAGAGGGGCCGGGATGCAGAGTGCTTCCTTTGGGGACAACACATACCCAGATTGATACTGACAAAGAAATTAGCCATCTGTGCTGGCTAGTTTTATGTTGACTTGACACAAGCTAGAGTCATCAGAGAGGAGGGAACCTCAGCTGAGAAAACGTCTCCATAATAGGCAAGCCTGTAGGCATTTTCTTAATTAGTGATTGATGTGGAAAGACCCAGCCCATTATGGGTGGGGCCATCACTCGGCTGGTAGTCTCCAGTTCTATAAGAAAACAGACTGTGTGAGCCATTCAATGGTGATGAGAGATAGGGATGAGGGCAGGGGGGGTGGGAGGGGGTGGAGATATGACTAGCACGCCAGTAAGCAGCTCTCCTCCATGGCTTCTGCATCAGCTCCTGCCTCCAGGTTCCTGCTCTGTCGTTGGTTCCCATCCTGACTTCCTTTGATGATGAACTCTGATGTGGAAGTATAAGCCAAATAAACCCTTTCCTTCCCGGGTCGCTTTGGTATCGCAGCAATACTATCCCTGACTAAGACACTTTCTCATTTCAAAAGCTCCTGGCTGGCCGATAGAACATCGGGCTGGGGTAGACAGAGCAGATCTGAGTCAGTGCCCTTCAGCGTTTCATCAAGACCTATGTCTCCCGTCTCACCACCAACACACACACACACACACACACACACACACACACACACACACACACACAGGAGCTCCTGCAAGGCAACAGTCAAGTCCGCCAATCTTCCACTCCAAGCTCCCGCTCCAGAGCTAGTACGCAGGGGCCACTGAGACAGGTGGTAGTGTGTGTGACTGGGGATGTAGCTCAGCTGGCAGAGTGCTTGATCCCCAGTGCCACAAAAAATGGTGTGGTGGTGCACACCTGTAATCCCAGAAGTTCAAGGTCGTCTTCAGCTACATAGCAAGTTCAAGGCCAGCCTGAATACATGAGACCTGGTTGAAATGAAGGGAAAGGTTAAAGGGGGGGAGGGAGAGGGAGGGAGGGAGGGAGGGAGGAAAGAGAGCCCTGGCAACCCAGTCTATAAACACCACTATACAAAGAGACTTAAAGAGGTTTGCCCAAAGTCACTGGGTGGATCAACACCCTGCCTTGACCCTCTGGTTCTTACCACAGAAGTTTCTCAGGCCTGCCTACCCAGTGCTCACCACTTAAGATGTGCCCAGATGGAGGGCCCAGACTTCCCCTCCCATTTGTGAGCCCTTAGCCACTTGGCCCAAGCAGTGGAGATGACCCAGCAACAGCTTCCCATCCTCATCCACGGGAAGTCAGTTTGTAACCAAGTTGGGAACTTTTATTTACACAAAGGCCTGAGTGGGTGTGGGCGAAGGGACTGGAGAGCAGTGATGTCAGAAACAAAGGAGATGGGTGTTTAAATACTCAGACGGGAGGCGGAAAGGAAATAACGGGGCTGGCCTAAGGATTGCCAACTCAGGGTCCTCACCCTCAGCAGACACCCAATGAAAATAAGTCCAGGCAGTAAGAAGGGGAGGAAGATCATCAGAGGCCTCGGTCTACCTGCCCCGAGGGTGGGAAGGCCAGTGCAGAATGGCCTGGATGAGGGCTAGTTGGTACCCTGGGAAGAAAGGCCACCCTGTTCCCTCAGGAGTGGTGGCTCTCCAGGACTTGCTCTGTTGGCCTCACCCTTACTCCAGTGCGCTCCCTCACCGACCCCTCCCTCACTGAACTTGTCTTCAGGACCCCTGGGTTCCAAAAAAGGTCCTGAGAAATCTAGCCTCCTGGGCTGGAGCTGGGGTGCATATCCACCCAGAGGGGACCCCAGATGCGAATAGGCTCTGTCCTGGCTGGTTGCTCATGGCCCCTTGATGGACCCAGGCTCCGTGAGGCGAGCAGAGGCATAGGCTGAAGCCCCCAGGCAGGCGGCAGGCTCACAGAACCCGGGCAGCCCCACCGGGCCTGGCAAGCCAGGTCGGCCAGCCACCCCTGGAGCCCCTGGGGATCCGCGGTCTCCATCCTTGCCATTGATTGCCTGGCCGGGCCGGCCGGGAAGACCTGTGAGGAGAGGCAAGACACTGGGAAATTATTCAGGCAGGGAAAATTAGACCACAAATACCAATCCCTGAAGGAAGACCCAGACACTACCCAACAGTCCCAGCTGCCAGCTCCCAGCCAGAGGCCCGAGACTCCTAGGTGCTCCAACTTGGCTGAGTGCCAGGCTTCCATGCCCCCCCCCGGGGGGGGGCCAAGATGACGACCTAGGATCATTACTCCCCAAGCTCAGAGACGGAAGGGTGGCTGCACAGGACTAAGGTGTTACCTGGGATCCCTGGGGGTCCGGGCATCCCGGGGTGCCCACGTCCCATTTCTCCTTGGTCACCTTTCTCTCCACGCTTTCCTGGGGACAAAAAGGAGTGCCTTTTCCCAAACTGAGAAACATCTCTCCCACTACTTGGTTTGTTTCATACACACCCATTGCGCCAGTACACTATTGGAGAAAGTTAGAAATGACCACAGAGGGCTGCCTAGATAAAGGGAGATCCAGATAAAATGTGGGAGATTACATATCAGATAAGGTGTATTACGGAAAGTGTCCAGTAAGAACTGACATTTCCTGTACCAAGCTGCCTTTGACCCAGTCCCCCTTGGCCAGCTCCAGCCCCAGAGCAGCGCTTACCCTTGGGTCCAGTGTTGCCAATCTGACCCACTGCTCCCACGATGCCAGGAATGCCTCGGGGGCCAGGATGCCCATGGGGTCCCTGTTTGCCTGGATATCCAGGGGGCCCGGGAGGTCCTGGGGGACCCACCATTCCGGTTGCCCCCAGGGCTTCCCGCTTGGCACTCACAGCTACCTCTGCCAGTTGCTCTGAAGGGAAGAGGAGGAAGAAGGGTCTGAGATGAGCCTGGAGAAGACAGGGCATCCTGATGGCCCCTGGCCCCTAAGCTTGCAGACAGACAAGCCCCGCTTGGAGCTTCCCCAAAGTTCCACAGTTTCCGGGAAGCCGAGCTGGAATGCACACCAGGGACTCCAGACCCTCAAGCAAAGACACAGAGAGAGGCTGGTGAAGGGTGACCAGGTACTGAAATGGACTGACGGGAGGGGGCTGCAGCCCTGCCCTCACCTTGAATCATCTTCAGCACCACGTCCACGATGTGCTGCTCATTGGCAGCTCGGCCCTAAGAGCAGAGGATGAAATACATGAAGCCTTGGTTACCAGAACCAACCCACTCCAGCAACCTGCCTCCGCACCCCGCCCCTATCTATCCCAACATTTTGGGGCACGTGTTCACACCCATTCTCTTGATCCGGGGCCAGTCATGGAGCAGCCAGAGGGCCTCTGGGAACTCCCAGCTTTGGGCAATTTTCTACACCCCCAAGAAGATGTCCTTCCTAGAGAATGCCCTAGCCCTGGGGTCCACTCACCACTACACCTTGTCTCCCAGGTTGTCCCGGCACGCCTCGATCTCCCATCAGTCCTCGGGGTCCAGGAAGCCCCGGGTAGCCCTGCACTCCTGGAGCGCCCGCATCCCCACTGGGGCCAGGGTATCCTGGCTCTCCACGGACTCCTTGCTGCGATGGGATAGTATAGAGTGAGAAGGCATCTGGAGGGAGTGGGGAGAAAGGAGAGGGCGGGGCCAGAGGGAGAATAGCAGCCGCGTGGGAGAGGGGGAGGGGCTCACCTGTCCCTTGGGTCCCGGCTCTCCAGACTGGCCCTGCAGAAGGAGCGTGGTCAAGAAGTGGACAGGACCCCAGAGCAGCCCCCCGACTCCCCATCCCACTCCCGTGCCCGCTCACCTTCTCCCCTTTCTCACCCGGGAGGCCGGCCACCCCTGGGTCACCCTGCAGAAAGAGAACCTGGTGTCAAGCGCCGTGGTGGCGAAGATAAGGGGCGCAGGGTCTGCAGGTGTGTACAGACCCCGACGCCCCTGGCACCCGGCGCCTGTGAGCTGGACTGGGGCGTTGGAACTCACCACTCCGCCTCGGGGACCGGTCTTCCCTGGGGAACCCTGGAAAAAGATCCGGGACATAGTGAAATGTCCTGTCCAGGGAAGGGAGGCCCCTAGCTCCCTGCTCCGCCTGGTCTAAACCCCTCCCCACTCGGCCCACCGCAGCCCAGACTTGGGTCCCTTTCCCTGGTGTTTTCCAGCCTCCGGTGGTACCTTATCTCCTTTGATGCCTGGCAAGCCTTGGGGTCCTGGAATTCCCGGGGGACCCTGCTCTCCCTTGGGGCCCTGAGGTGGTGGAAAAAAAACAAAACAAAACAAAACAGTGAAGTAAACTAAAGAACCGATCTGTGAGCCTCTGCCCCCCTCAGCTGGCCTAGGCTCACCGGTCGTCCTTGAGGGCCTGGCTGCCCTACTGGTCCCCTCTCACCCTGGTCACCCTGAAATGGAAAAAGGAGGTCACACCTGGTCTGTCAGCAGGGCCAGCCTTTTAGGTCAGATCCCGCTCTAGCAAGACAAGTGCCATCCATTCTGGTTGTCACCAGCAGGGGTCCTTCTTATTACTCTTTTTCACAGACGTTCATTTGAGGCCTTGTCAGTGAGGACCCAGTGCCAGCCACTGCAAGGATGGGGGAGAGGGGACCGCTTACCTTCTGTCCCATGATGCCCTGCGGACCAATTTCTCCTCGAGGCCCTGGCTCCCCCTGGGAGGAGAAAGGAGAAGTAGCCGACCTGGTAGGACCCTCCTTCCAGCCCTGGCTCAGCCTCCCCCACCCTTGGAACAGCTAGTTGGCTTCAATTGAGGAGGCTGGCCCAGAAAGCAGAACCAGCTTGCTTGGGTCAGTGGGACAGGACACCAGATTCAAGTCACTCCCCAGGTTTGGGCTCCATCCCGAAGCCTCGCCCTGGCCCTACACTGAGGTCAGGACCTTAGACTTAGAAAGACCAAAGCCCTCCAGCGAGAATGGAGGATACTCACTTCTTTCCCTGGAGGACCAGAGATTCCAGGGAAGCCCTGCTGGCCTGGTTCACCCTGCAGGAAAACACAGTTCTCACGTCAGGCCGGTAGCTGCCAGTCAGCCCTTAGCCTCAGGTAGGCCCAGGAACCCTGTGCAAAGTCTACAACCAAATAAGCAGGGAAGGGGGCAGGGTGTTCCGATCAGATCCTCTGGGCTCCATTGCTTTTCCTGAGTTTGTTTCTCCTCTGGATTCCAGTCCACATCCCGCTTCTGCTAAGCCAGGATGAGGGAGGGGCGAGGCAGTGGCAGAGGGGAGTGTGGTCTGAGGGGCTTGTGTTTGGTCTGCTCAAGCCTTGGGTGAGAACTGGGCCTCACAATCCTTGAGTCATGCCCCACTTCTCACTCTCTGGTCCCCTTGTCCAAGTAGAACCAAGTGTCCTGGCTCAGGGGTCTCCTCACCTTGTCTCCAGGGCCTCCTTTTGTCCCAGGCTGACCCGGCACACCCTAAAGAAAAAAGATGGTGTCCATTTCTGCCCTGGCATGGGGAGATGGGTACTTGCCACGTTTCCTCCATGTCCAATCCAGATTTTTTTCCTCCTCGTGAGAGCGAAACAATCAAAGATCCAACCCGGGTATCATGAGCTTAGCTGGCTTTTCACCCTCGTTGTGAGTCCCAGTGGCAGAGGACTGGGCTTTGGACAACAGCCTGTCTATCAGCGTCCAGGTCCAGGGGAAAAGCATACAGTGAACACTAGTCTACACATGCACAGAGAAGCAGGCTTTGGCAGTCTGCGCCCTCAGGAAGGAAGAGGGTGAGCATCACAGGCTGAACTAAAAGGTGAATCAAGAAGACCAGAGACCCCAGCAAAGGCCTAATGGTATGGAAATAGAAAAGCCACTGTGGCTGGGCAGTGGTGACGCACGTCTTTCATCCCAGCACTGGGGAGGCAGAGGCAGGCAGATCTCTGTGAGTTCAAGGCCAGCCTGGACTACAGAGTGAGTTCTAGGACAGCCAGGGCTACACTGAGAAACCCTGTCTTGAAAAACAAAACAAAACAAAACAAAAATTATCCAAATGATGAGGCAGTCTACACCAGGCCAGGAGCCATGTAGATAGTAATGAGGTGAGGGGGTGATGGGGTCAGAGCTCAGGTGCAGATTTTGACCTCCTCAGTCTCTCGTGCCCTCACACAGAGGCAGGAAACCGAGTGACCGGCTCTCTGAGGCCCAAGAGGATCACCTTGCCTGTGGGCAGCCCTGGTAGCCTCAGTTGATACTCACCGCTAGGCCCTGGTGGCCTGGGCTTCCTGGCCGCCCCACCTGTCCTGCACTGCCCTGGAGGGACAAACAACCAGAAAGACAAATTAGAGCCCCAACCTGAGGGGGCTCATGGCTCCCACCTATGTGCAGGCAGGGAAACAGACCCAGAAGCAAGGAGGCCTGCCTGAAGCACACGGAGAGCGGCTGCTTCTGAAGCCTCTAGGATTGGTGTGACAGGGCTCACCGGCCTGAGGAGGAACAGGCCTGACCCTGGCCAGCTCCGCCAATGCTCCTGACTCTTACCTTCATGCCAGGTATGCCCGGGGTCCCATCCTTGCCATCAATGCCTGGGGGACCCTGTGCAGGAAGGAAATTCAAGGGAGACGCGTAATGGGAAGACCCATGGGGTCAAGCCATCCACCCTGTGACATGAGCTTCTGTGACAGCTGCAGTGTGCATGCAGAGAGGCTCTGATCACTTCAGGAACCCCAGACCTGGGGAAGGGGTGAAGAGGAACAGGCCACACCCTTCCTTTGTGTGGGTGACCGCTCGGGTGCCAAGCTCCCCACTGTTGCGCTGTGATTCCCCACTATATGCAGGTGAAGAGGCTAAACTAAAAGAAAGCGTATTTGTCCAGACCCCCAGCTTCCTCTCCATCCAGGGATGCAGACAAACTGACCGGGGCCAGGGCCTGGACGCTGGTCACTTACCGTGGTTCCCTTTGGGCCTGTTATCCCCTGGGGTCCTCGGACACCTTGGCTGCCCTGCAAGGTAGATGAGATCCGTCACCTTTAGCGTGCTGAGCCTGACTAGTCAGAGAGACCAGCACAGCCAAGACAATGGCTCCCGGGTCCCAGAGTCCTTGTGGTCTGGGCCAGACTGCAGAGGTTAAACGGAGACCCTCACAAGTCTGCATCTGCCCTGACACGAAGGGAAGCCTGTCCAGATTGGCACAAGCACCTGGGCCAGGGAGGGCACTGCAGGGGTTCCTGGGAGCCCTGCACTCTTAGATGGCGGTCACTGAGGTAAACAGTCACCAAGAGAGATGGGCGGGCTTCATAGTTGGGGGGG